AAATAGAAGTCGCGTTTTTTTTCATCTGAAACGTGCTGCGATTTATATTCCAAAGCTACTCATATAATGCAGAAACACTCAAGCAAGCAAAACATGCGCAACGCGTGCACGTATTTGTACTGATGCAGAATAGTACAGCCTAGCGCATTTCACACAAGCTGCTAGATTCACTTTCGCCAGAAAGTCATGTATGCCTGAGGTTAAAAATAAATGACGTTTATAGTGAATGCCCCTATAAGTGGTCTTATTTTTACGATTTAGTTTTAATCCAAATGATGCATGTGCTGAGTGAACATCAAAGATCACACAACAGAACTGCACGCGCACTCGCGCTCTCTCTCTCTCCCTACCGTTAAGTAACCTGTGCATTGTTTTACTTACTTGTTTTTGACGTATCCGACCGAACTACAAACTTTCCAGTGATGTCTTTGAGAAAGGTATATTCACTCGACAAGCTCGCGCATCTGCGCCGCCGCGCGCTCAATCCACTCAGCGTGCTTTGCTCATCAGCTCGCGCACATCAGCTATACAGGCGTTAATACTGAATGTTTAACATTATATTCATTGCATACATATACTTCGTAGACATCCTTAATCTCTAATAACTCCATTCTGTTCTCTGTGTATCATTGTCTGAATATGGCACTTAACACATGCTGTGTGGTATCGGCGTTTGGTATCGGGGCATTTTAACGAGTACGAGTACAGGAGCTCAGTATCGGGCCCGTGCATCCCTAAAGTAGTCATTTAATTTTTTAATGGTCCTAACTCTTAAGTCGGTTACATAATGTAGACTGGTCTAACTTGAACCCGAAAAATAATACTCATTACCCCTTGAATATCTGTTATTGTTAGTTGGCTGGAAAGACTCTCCTCAAACACTATAAAAATAGTGTGCTGGAGCCCTGGGGGAAAAAATAGCTAATACCTTCACCTAATAATTTACAAAAATATTCACAGTTTGCATTCGTTCAGTCAACCTTGAGGTAGGAGAGAGTAAAGTTGTTCAGTACATAAATCAAACAGACATTTTTATTTTATAATGCACAGGACAAGCAGGAGAACGAACCTGACCCTGTTGTGACATCACTCAAACATTATTTTTCAACAGTGCAAGGACAGTGTGTCCTCTAAACTGACAAGAGCAACAGTCTCATTCTTCATTCAGTGTACATTTTTATAAGTCAGGACTTACGGTACATTGAGTGCAACTCCTCAATTTCTTCAGCAGTCTGATTCTTCGTAGTGACGATTACCTGTCAAATGCAGAGCATTATGAAAAAAAGAGCAAAGCATAAATCTAATAGCTATAGTTGTATCAACAAGAATGCACTTTTAAAAAGCTGAAACATCACATCTATTTATTTTGTAAATAAAAGAAAGTAACATTATAGACATACATGTAGGCACATTTCTATTATATGCACATTTATATATATATTTTAGAAATAACAATCCACAGTAGTACATACAGGTTTTCGTTTACTCTCCATTTGATTCTTTAACCTCTCATTGTTTTCAAGTTCTTTGGCAATTTTTTCAGCTGTCAACAAATGAAAAAGCAAAAACATTAGCTATAAAACCCAGTAACGATTCTGAAGAATACTTAATGCCCAACATATAAATATACCCAAATACATAAAAATCTCACCTCAATACATACAGTAGCCTATCTATACCTATTATTTCTATATCTCCATTAAAACACACAGGCAGATGCTCATTCTCATATAATTCTGGATAACATGACCATCAGGTTTTACACAAATTTGTGGCATAGAAGTCAATTTGAATACTGTAATTTATCAATTCAATCTGCCATTGTATATGACAAAACAAAACCACACAGGTAGTGTAGGAAAAAAAACAATCCAAGTCCACAAGTCCACCTTTTTAACAGAAACCATGGTAACGTAAGGCGAATGATAGAAAAATAGAAGGTTTCCTGCTAAACCTTTGACAGCTCAATGAAAAGAGATAAATTCAGCTCTGAAAGGGTCAGTGAGAAGGGAAGCAGTAACTCAAACAAAACTTGAGGGATAAAACTACTGTATTTTTCCACTAGCCCTGTCATCTTTGTGCCAGGGTCCCCCCACGGGGTGACTAACTCCTGCACATAAATTACATTCCACCACCTACAGTGGCTGGTCACAGTAAAACTGCGTACAGCAAACTCTTTCACCAGCAACATACTGTATAATTCACGCCATTCATGTCAGAAACACACGTTTACATGAAATCCCAACCATGTTTTTCAATGCCTATAAAGCTATGTCTTCTAATTCACCATCTATTCATTCATTTGTTCATTCAGTTATTGATCTCTGACTTTATACCTGATTTGGGGTTGAGTGCATCACACTGTGCGTTATAGATGTGGGTGAATTCCTGGTGGCGTCGCACGAGTTGATCTCTGCTGCCTTGAGCGGACAGGTGACACTCTTTAAGCATCTTCTTGAGCTTTGGAACAGTAATCAAAGTGTACAAGAGCTTAGGCATCGCCTTTCGCCTTCCACCACTGAAAAACAAACACATACACAAGTCCCAAAGTCATTTATAGAAAAAAAAGTTCAATACAATGAAATTATACATAAAAAAATCATTGTCATTCAAAATAAATTTATAAAACATTTAGATTTGTAAGTGTGCACTGATTGCACAAACCACATTCACAAATTCATGCACCCAGAGCCTCATGCATAATGTTCTTCTGCAAGACGCATGCAGTTTTAATGATTAAATCTAGAGGACCAAAAGTTACATAGTGTACCTTTAATAATATTTCTTCCACCAAGTAATATAGTCCATTAGCCTAATATAGTCCATTAGCCTAATTGTGCCAATTCAGCTCATTCTTTAAAACAAATGCACAGTACGTCTAGCAAATTAGATGGAGAGTGACTGTTCAGGTCATAGCACAAATTTTCAATTGGAATCAAGTCTGTGTCTAGAATAATAACTATAAAGCAATATCTTCATAGTTTTGCCATGTAGTTTGTGCAGCTGTTGTGCTGGAAAGTAACACTAACTCATATCTCTGGATGACTGAAACAAGTTCTCCTTAAGGATTTGCATGCATTCAGCTTAATCCATTTTGGCCTTGATGTCAACAAACTTTCCAGTTCCACCATCTGAAAAATAAATCCCCCAAACATAACACTGCCACCGTGGCAGAGTAGGTCTTACCTGGTACTGGGTTGTATTTTCGCCAAACATAGTGCTTTGCTTTCAGGCCAAGGAACTTAACTCTTGCCAGACCAAAAATGTACTACCAAACTGTTTCAGGTTTTGTCCCATGGCTTTTACATGATTTAATGCCAGCCCTTCTCCTAGACACTGTGCCAGAGGTGAATCTCAAGTGGTGAAGAGACACTTGGTATCAGGATTTTTCAGTGTGAGACAAACAGCTCTGCAACTTGTTTTGTGGTCAATTCTCTGAGAGATGTCCGGTTACTCAGTTTGTTAGGATGGCATGATCCTGGTAGTTGACTGTATTGCCATTTACTTGGTAACTTGTGTGATCTTTAGAGGATCATATCAATCGTTACTTTATTTAATATATACCTTGATGAAATGTGTCACAAACAATTAAAGAAAGAAGTGGAATGTCTATTAAACAGGTCAGAAAACTGTCTAAAAAACACATTGTCTTTCATTTTCATTGTACTCATCCTAAAAGATAATATTACTCATAAAAAAAATATGACTAATGCAGCAATATTTCTTATTTCTTATAGCCTTCAGGCAGTACAGTTAAATAGCTGTAATGATTAAAGGCACAGTTCACCCAAAAATGAAAATTATGTCATGACTTTAGTCTCTATGACTTTCTTTTTTCTGTGGATTACAAAAGTAGTAAGTCTCAGTGTCTCAATGGGGTCTAATGTATTTTACCCCCCAAAATCTCTTCTTTTGTGTTCCACAAAAGAAAGAAAGGGATACAGGTTTGATATGAGGGTGAATTATTACTTTCGCCTAATATTAAGGTATAACAGGGTTCCCACTCTTTCATGAACACCAGATTCAAGGACTTTCAAGGACTTTTTAAAGCACCATTTATTTTATATCAAGCACCTATCAAATTCACACCCCAGCATATGTAGTGTCATGAAAAACCTTACATTACTTAACATTAAATTCATACATTCATGTGGAGATTAATGTTTTAAATATAAAATTTTGAATACAGAAATATTAAATGACTGAAATATTAAATAACTGAAATTATACGCTAAAAATTAAACCAAATCCACCAGCAGGTGGCGGTAACCCAGATAGCAAGAACGTTTGGGCCAAATGTGGCTGATAGCTGTCACATTTGGCCTAGGTATGGCATGGCTGAGCACATATGGGCCAAACTTTAACCGTATATGTTTTGCCATGGATTTAGAATTGGAGGGAATTTTCTTTTGGATGACAATTTTTTTGACTCACTAGATTCGTTCAAAAACGCACTTTCATTCATGAATGAAACTCGACTGTGTTTTCTTTTAGAGATGCGCAGCGGCTCAGCTGTTACTATATTTGGAACTATTTTCGTTGATGAAATATATACAATAAGAATGTTTGCGGGAGTGTGACACACACCTTGCGGGAGTGGGCGGTAATGGTCAGAAATTTAGCAGGAGTGGGCTTAAGAAAACAGTCCCGCTCAGGGCTCTAGGCTGTGCTCAGTTTTTTTTTTTTTGTTCTTTGACAGAACATATAGGACAATTTTTTAAACCCCATCTCCACCCCCAATCATTAGTGCCGCTTGTTCTGTCTTTGACAGAACATATAGGACAATTTTTTAAATTGCCATAAACAAAATTGATTTCAAATTTAATTCAAGCACTTTCAAGGACCTATGTTTGTTTTCAAGTACTTTCCAGGCCTTGAATCCATATGTCTGAAATTCAAGCACTTTCAAGTACTTTCAAGATGCGTGGGAACCCTGGTATAAGCACCAGACCCAACACTATTAAACAAAAAGCATTTAAAGGTGAAAAATTCATTCATCTCTGTAGCAGTAGTATGTCAGGATGGGCTTAAGGCCACAGGAATGCTGATGCATGCCCTCATTAATCATGTTACCCTCACGATGTCCAGTAAATGAAATCACCCTTTCTGTCAATCAGACACACACCAAAATGTCGGCCCTTCAGAATGTCCCTCAGGTGAAAAAGGGGAGGCCCAGTAAAGGGGGGAGGGGTGAAGACAAGCTATAATCTATAGGGAACGTTATTTAATAAGGATTCAATCCATTCTTTAACCACAAGTACTCAACTACTTTTCAAGTGCCCATAATTATTCACCACAGAACAATTGTTTAAACAATCTATTAAAAAAAAGTTGTTTCAGCCACAATCAGTTCATTTGTTAAACTTCATTCAACTAACTCAGACACATCCAAGAATAAACAAAAAAACATGATTGTAAAGGGTCCCTGATTAGGTAGAAAAATAAACAGGTCTATGAAAGCGGAGATTGTCAGACATCTGCGCAAACAATCTGGACAACCAACTTTCAAGAAACGTTAATTGAATTATATATAGCCATTAGTTATGCTCCACTTATTTGATTGGACAAATGGTGTTTCAAGATATCTGAAATGTTTTGCCATTTACATTCACTCTCTTAGTCCGCATTTGCTGCATTGAATGTTTGATCCTGGTTTAGATTCTTTTGAAACTACATTCATCAACAATATATAGAATATAGAAACATATTGTGTCTGAAATATCAGTTGTTCAGTATTAATTTCTTATTTATTGAATTACTGCATGTAAACAATATCACCAAGTAATAACTTGATAAAAAGAGGATTCTGATTTTGAATAATAGCAGGTCAACTAACAGCATGCTTCCTCTAGACAATCAGATAATTTGCACTGTCAAACTTCACACGATAATATTGTATTATGGGACAAATATTCTCCATACCTTCTCAATCCCTCCTTCTTATCATCTCTGCTCAAGCACATATCCAGATGTTTATTAATGTGCTGTTCGGGCACACCTACTCCACAGACAGGGCATTCCACTGCAACACACATTATTAACAAATTATTGCTTATTATAACCAGCACAAAATTACAAAGATGTTTTTAAGATGGTGTCACCGCTTTAAAAATATATATATAATAATTCCCTTATTGTGAAGAAAACTCAATGCATCAGTGGACAACCCATTATCAATGCATTAAGGGATAAACAATGTAATAGACTGATAGACAAACCCATTACACTTTTAACATTTAACTAATATACTTGTTTATTTCAAACATACAATATAAATTCAACAAAACAGCATGTCATGCACATCACCTTTAACCAGTGGCTTATTGTGAGAAGTGGAAGGAAAAGCAGTTACATCCATCTTTTCGTCTTTCACCATTCCCATTGTATCCTCTACATTTTCTTGCTTGACGTTACCTAGCTGCTGTAAACACAGCTCCATGGGTTCTGATTTGACTGGCACATGAAGCTTAAGACTTGTTTGGGTCTCTGATGAGGGAATCACAGGGGTCTTCTTCTGGAAAAAATGACTGAGGGTGTTTGCTTCCTTTCTGAGGCCCTTTCGTCTTGCTGCTTTGCCTTTGATCATCATAACCGGGGTTTCCGGGGAAATAGGGGGTGATTCCAAATTTGAGTGACACAATTTTTGCCTGGTGAGATGAGAGAGATTGTATTTAGTATATTTTAAAAATTAGTTTAGTGCTGTGATGGCAAAGCTGAATTTTCAGCAGCCATTGGTCCAGTCACATGTACTTTCAGAGATCATTCTAATATGCCAATTTGATGCACAAGTATTTTTTTTTTTTTTAAGTTTTTTAATTTGATGCACAAGAGTTTTTGTGCCAGCAGACCTGCAGGGATAAAAGGGGCTTCCACATACTTTTGGGCCATGTGGTGTGTGTTTGAGGGACAAACAGTACAATATGTAATATATATATCAAAGACACAAAAACATTCTTCAAGAACAAACTGGGCCAAGGACAAAAAAACGAAAGGTTGTTTGAGCATCTGTTTGAGCCACTAAAGTGACAATTTGTCAGCAAAACTGTGCTTCTCTATACAATGTGTAAGCCTTCGAATATCTCCGCTTCCCTTCTGAGGGAGAGTGAGAGACGAAATCGTGAAAAATAATTTGAGGGGAGAATAGGAGGGCAGAAGGAGCGAGAAAGAGAAAAGGAGTACATAAAATGAAGTGAGAGAGAGAGAGTGAATGCAGGCAAGCACCTGTCGGTTTCGCAATTCCAGTGGAAATGTGGAAAGCCAACAAATGCAGAGAGTGGCTGTGAGGCCATTACAGAGCCATAAAGTGGAGTCAATGAGGTGTGAAAACGCTACTTTCCATATTGAAACCTTTTATTTCTCTTTGTCTGACCATTAGTCCACATACACGCATGCAAAACTAAACACTTAAGAAAAAAAAGAACAAGAAACAAGGTTCCCCAATCTGTATTAATGTGGCTGTGACCATTTTGGGTCTACATTACTATCTGAAGGGTGATGTCAGTTTTCTTCCTTATATGACAATGCTATTAGAAAAGATCTAGTGGCAAACAGACCAAAGCTAAAAAGGGATATAAAATAGCATCTTCACCCTTATACCCTAAAAAAAGCCTCAATCCCAATCTTCTTGTTAAGTTAAAAGCAAAATGTAATACATGCTCACAAAGCTCGATTTACAGAATGGCACCATGACTTATTAAAAAGTCACTTGTTTGATCTATATCCTAACATAACTCTGGAGTCTAAATTAATAAACAAATGTGTGTTCACAGGTTATTTGCAAGAGTCAGTAGAGAGTAAATGAAAATATCAGAAAAGAATTCAGGATGCACGTTTTCTGCACTGATTATGGGGAAAAATTGGGGAAAAGTGTTTAAAGGAGTGGAAAGTACTACACTTTATTGGTAGCAGAAAGAATGATCATCAAATTGATTGAAAACAACTACAGATGCAATCATAATGTGCAACGCACTTGTTCATACTGAATTGAAATCTACTTGAAATATCACAAGCACACATATTAAGGGCCTTTATGTAGAAGTCTTAAAGACAAAGCTGCAACAAAAAAATAAATAACATACCTTTTAAAGGGTCAGACAGAGGGTGGAATTGTCATGATTATACTAACTAAATCCTGACTTCTTGGAGGAAAAAAAACTTAACATAATAAGTAGACCTCATGCAAAAATAAAATGATAAATCATTATTAGGAAAAAATATATGATCCTCTTAACTAATGAATAACACCCTGTCCTAATTTTTTGGCCTTTCTTCAGTAATGCTTTTAAAAATCAACTGCAGGCTTAACTACCTACCCAGCCAAGATCATTAAAATAAACCTCATTTTTTACGATTTTTATAACTAGTCAACTTAATGTTACTACAACATGATTCAAATAGCTTTTTCTTTATTAACCTTAATCTAGTTAAAGAAAATCCTATTCTAAGTGCAGCACACATGAAGTTGTCAACATGATGTAAATGTTAAACAAATCACTTGTTAAATAATATATTTGCAGAAAAGATGCATGAACTACAACTACATGCTGTACAAACTTGTCTTATAGCCTACATGTTATATGTTCAGAAATAATAGGCTACAATGAAAATGCTTCAAAAAAATTCTCAACAATGTAATTCTAATTCAAAATGACTGCTTATACATAGAATCCGAAAATTGTACATTTCTAAACTGTGCGCTTGTAAATATATCTGTACATTCATTTAAAGTTACATTTATCTATATTTATACTTCTGTATATAGTGCATTATTTGATTTTCTGTTTTTCTTATATTAGCGTTATACTCGGTCTCTACTGTGTAATTCCTGTCTGCTGCACTAGTTTGCACTATGTCCATACTTTCTTCTGCACTGGAAGCTCCGGTCACTAAATCAAATTCCTTGTCTGTGTAAACATACTGGGGGTTGAACGACTTCTGATTTTTTGAAGTCGACTTTTACGTGATGAAAGTCGAGTCGAAGTCGACTAGTCGCTGATGACGTCATTAATGAACAAATAAGTCTGGGGCTGTGACAAACACCTTGTGCACAACTATGGAATATAACACAGCGCTGCCCACATGGCTGTTGCTCCTATAACAGCTTTTTTTATCAGTT